GACCGTGAATCTCTCTCATAGCGTTGCGACCGAGCATCTCTGTCGTAGCGTTGTTACCATGCATCTCTCTCGTAGCCTTTTGTCCGAGCATCTCTCTCTTGGCGTTGTGACCCTGCATCTCTCTCGTAGCGTTGTGACCGTGCATCTCTCTCGTAGCATTGCGACCTTGCATCTTTCTGGTAGCGTTGTTACCATGCATCTCTTTGGTAGCGTTGCGACCGAGCATCTCTGTCGTAGCGTTGTTACCATGCATCTCTCTCGTAGCCTTTTGTCCGAGCATCTCTCTATTGGCGTTGTGACCCTCTCATCTCTCTCGTAGCGTTGTGACGGTGCATCTCTCTCGTAGAGTTGTGACCGTGCATCTCTCTCGTAGCATTAACACTGTGCATCTCTCTCGTAGCGTTTTGACAGTGCATCTCTCTTGTAGAGTTGTGACCGAGCATCTCTCTTGTAGAGTTGTGACCGAGCATCTCTCTCGTACTATTGTGACCGAGCATCTCTACCGTAGCGTTGTGACCGTGCATCTCTCTCGTAGCATTGCGACTGTGCATCTCTCTCGTAGCGTTTTGAGAGTGCATCTCTCTTGTGGAGTTGTGACCGAGAAGCTCTCTCTTAGCGTTGCAACCGAGCATCTTTCTCGTAGCGTTGTTACCATGCATCTCTTTGGTAGCGTTGCGACCGAGCATCTCTGTCGTAGCGTTGTTACCATGCATCTCTCTCGTAGCCTTTTGTCCGAGCATCTCTCTCTTGGCGTTGTGACCCTCCGTCTCTCTCGTAGCGTTGTGACCGTGCATCTCTCTCGTAGAGTTGTGACCGTGCATCTCTCTCGTAGCATTAAGACTGTGCATCTCTCTCGTAGCGTTTTGACAGTGCATCTCTCTTGTAGAGTTGTGACCGAGCATCTCTCTTGTAGAGTTGTGACCGAGCATCTCTCTCGTACTATTGTGACCGAGCATCTCTACCGTAGCGTTGTGACCGTGCGCTCTCTCTCGTAGCATTGCGACTGTGCATCTCTCTCGTAGCGTTTTGAGAGTGCATCTCTCTTATAGAGTTGTGACCGAGCATCTCTCTCTTAGCGTTGCAACCGAGCATCTCTCTCGTAGCGTTGTTACCATGCATCTCTCTCGTAGCGTTGCGACTGTGCATCTCTCTCGTGGCGTTGTGACCGTGCATCTCTCTCGTGGCGTTGTGACCATGCATCTCTCTCGTAGCGTTGCGTCTGAGCATCTCACTCTTGACTTTGTGAGCATGCATCTCTCTCGTAGCGTAGTGACCGTGCATCTCTCCCGTGGCATTGTGACCATGCATCTCTCTCGTGGCATTGTGACCGAGCATCTCTCTCGTAGCATTGCGACCGTGCATCTCTCTCGTAGCGTTGTGACCAAGCATCTCTCTCGTAGCGTTGTGACCACGCATCTCTTTCGTAGCGTTGTGACCAGGTGTCTCTCTCGTAGCGTTGTGACCATGAATCTCTGTCGTAGCGTTGCGATTGAGCGTCTCTCTCGTGGTGTTGTGACCAATCATCTCTCTTGTAGTGTTGTGACCAAGCATCTCTCTCGTAGCGTTGCGATTGAGCATCTCTCTCGTGGCGTAGTGACCGTGCATCTCTCTCGTGGCGTTGTGACCGTGCATCTCTCTTGTGGCGTTGTGACCATGCATCTCTCTCGTGGCATCATGACCATGCATCTCTCTCGTAGCGTTGCGACCGAGCATCTGTGTCGTAGCGTTGTGATCGAGCATCTCTCTCGTAGCGTTGCGACCGAGCATCTGTGTCGTAGCGTTGTGATCGAGCATCTCTCTCGTAGCGTAGTGACCGTGCATCTCTCCAGTGGCATTGTGACCATGCATCTCTCTCGTGGCATTATGACCATGCATCTCTCTCGTAGCGTTGCGACCGAGCATCTGTGTCGTAGCGTTGTGATCGAGCATCTCTCTCGTAGCGTTGTGACCAGGGGTCTCTCTCGTAGCGTTGTGACCATGCATCTCTCTGGTGGCGTTGTGACCATGCATCTCCCTCGTAGCGTTGTGTCCGAGCATCTCTCTGGTAAGATTTGAGCTACTTACATCTCTCTCGTACCGTAGTGATCCATTGCATCTCCAGTGGCATTGTGATATGCATCTCTCTCGGCATTTATGACCAGCATCTCTCTCATCGCGTTAGACCAATCATATCATCTTGCATCTCTCTTGTGGTATTGTGACCGAACATCTCTCTCGCAGCGTTGCAACCATACATCTTTCTCGTGGCGTTGTGACCGTGCATCTCTCTAGTAACGTTGTTACCATGCATCTCTTTGGTAGCGTTGTGACCGTGCATCTCTCTCGTGGCGTTGTGTTCGTGCATCTCTCTCGTGGCGTAGTGATCGTGCATCTCTCCAGTGGCAATGTGACCATGCATCTCTCTCGTGGCATTATGACCGCGCATCTCTCTCGTAGTGTTGCGACCGAGCATCTCTCTCGTAGCATTGTGATCGAGCATCTCTCTCATAGCGTTGTGACCGTGAATCTATCTCGTAACGTTGTGACCATGCATCTCTCTCATAGCGTTGTGACCATGCATCTCTCTCGTGGCGTTTGTGATATGCATCTCCCTCATGGCAGTATTAAAACATCTACTCTCGTAGCGTTGTGACCGCGCTCTCTTGTAAGCGTGGTAGGCGGTATCTCTCGGTGGCATTGTGACCATGCACCTCCCTCGTAGCGTTGTCCCAAAGCATCTCTCAATGGCATTATGACCCGACTTCTCTCTCGTAGCGTTGTGACGGCATCTCTCGTAACATTAGACCGAAGCATCTCTTTGAGTGTTGTTCATGCGTCCCAAATTGCGTTGCGACCTGCATCTCTCTGGTGGAGTTGTGACCCGTGCATCTCTCTTACGCAGCCTTTGTCCGAGCATCTCTCTCTAGGCATTTGTGACCCGTGCATCTGTCTCGCTAGCATTGCGACCGTGCATATCTCTATTGGCGTTATTTACCGCTTCACATCTCTTTCGTAGCCTTTTGTCCGAGCATCTCTCTCTAGGCGTTGTGACCCTGCATCTCTCTCGTAGCGTTGTGACCGTGCATCTCTCTCGTAGAGTTGTGACCGTGCATCTCTCTCGTTGCATTGCGACTGTGCATCTCTCTCGCAGCCTTTTGACCGTGCATCTCTCTCGTAGAATTGTGACCGAGCATCTCTCTCGTTGCGTTACGACCATTCATCTCTCTCGTAGCGTTGTGACCTATGCATCTCTCTCGTCACGTTATGACCGTGCATCTCTCTCGTGGCTTTGTGACCAGGTATCTTTCTCTTAGCGTTGTGACTAGGCGTCTCTCTCGTAGCGTTGTGACCATGCATCTCTCTCGTAGCGTTGTGATTGAGCATCTCTCTCGTGGCGTTGTTACCAGTCATCTCTTTTGTAGCGTTGTGACCAAGCATCTCTCTCGTAGCGTTGCGATTGAGCATCTCTCTCGTGGCGTAGTGACCGTGCATCTCTCTCTGGGCGTTGTCACCATGCATCTCTCTCGTAGCGTTTCGACCGAGCATCTCTCTCGTGGTGTTGCGACCAAGAATCTCTCTCGTAGCGTTGCGACCACGCATCTCTCTCGTAGCGTTGTGACCGAGCACCTCTCTCATAGCGTTGTGACCGAGCATGTGTCTCATTGTATTGCGACCATAAATCTCTCTCGTAGCGTTGCGACCGAGCATCTCTCTCGTGGCGTTGCGACCATGAATCTCTCTTGTAGCGTTGCGACCGCGCACCTCTCTCGTAGCGTTGTGACCATGCATCTCTCTCATAGCGTTGTGACCGAGCATGTCTCTCGTTGTGTTGCGACCATGAATCTCTCTCGTAGCGTTGCGACTGAGCATCTCTCTCGTGGCATTGCGACCACGCACCTCTCTCGTAGCGTTTGACCGAGCATCTCTCTCGTAGCGTTGCGACCGTGCATCTCTCTCGTAGCTTTGTGACCACGCATCTCTTTCGTAGCTTTGTGACCGAGCATCTCTCTCATAGCGTTACGACCGAGCATCTCTCTCGTGGCGTTGCGACCATGGCAAATGAACAAACAGAGCTCTGTTTGTGAAATATAACAAAGTCTGGGAATTTTGTTGTCATTGTAGCGCGTTGGTATCGATACCTTGTCACACGCAGAGGTGGAGTGTTCGAATCCTGGCTGGTGAGGTCTTTATTGTATATATATATATATATATATATATATATATATATATATATATATATATATATATATATATATATATATATATATATATATATATATATATATATATATATATATATATATATTTTTTTTTTTTTTTTTTTTTTTTTTTTCTTTAAGTGGCACACTTTCACCGTGTAGGGCTCACTCGCCTACAAAGGGAGGGTTTCAAATATATCATACTCACTCCTGTGCTTTTGAGGAGGTGAGTTATGAGGGAAGTGGTCGATTTTTTTATTGTGGTGGGAAGTTCTGTGAGAGAATGAATTATCTTCCCAGCTTTGGCCGAAGAATAATGTAACCTGCGTGTGTCGAATGGTTCATCCGTTTTGCGATGTATTCGTCAAAACCATGGATGTTATTTCATTTTCTCACTGTACCAGTCTTTCTATTTTAATGTTCTGTATGTACGCTGCCCATAACACGCCGTCATTCCTATGAGACTCATTTTCTCTTCACACTTCAACTTATTATTATTATTATTATTATTATTTTACATTTATGGTAACCCTTTGAGGATGATGGTTTAACCCGATGGGAATGATGTTTTAACCCTTTGAAGATAATGAGTTAACCTTATTGGAATGATGTTTTAACGTTTTGAAGAAATGATTTAACCCTTTTAGAACGATAGTTTAATCCTTTCATGTATTATCCTTTAACCCTTAAGGCTAATAATATTGATGGCTTATGAACCTTTCATCTTCAACGTGTCAAGGCTCCATGACTATTTCTGCATCTATTCTCAACTAAAGTCTGTATATTTTCGAACAGGATAAATGTATTTGCTTAAACATACAGGTATTTGGCCAATTGGAGTTTGATAATGAGGAACTGATGGTGTCGATAAAGGATAATTCCGGGAGCAGACTGAAGAAAGCCACACACGTGTTCTTCACCTTCATACTCCCCACCATCTTTACTAGTGTCTGTTACGTCCACATGTACATTAAGGTAAACTCTCTCTCTCTCTCTCTCTCTCTCTCTCTCTCTCTCTCTCTCTCTCTCTCTCTCAATTAAGTGTTTATTTAATCCCTTCCACAAACGCATAACAAAGTTTTCAAAACCTGAATTCTCATACAACCAAAATACAAAACCGTAAACCACACGATGCGATTAAAAGAAATGGCTAAGAATATTTTATGAACTGTCATCATGATCTATTTACAAATATTTTTGTTTTATTTACCTAACTGTCCAAGTTAAAATCTTTGAAATATACTGAACATTTTCGAGGTTTTCAGTTTTTGTCGTTTTCAGTGTTTCAGTGGCCAGGGTCTTTGTACCGTTATTAATATAAAGTTTCTAGACCTAAAACAACTTTTTAGACTGAGAGAGTATTGTAACATTCCTCGAGATTTTTTCTTTCTAAATTAATATTTTTGATGTGGGCAGGTGCGCCATTCAAGAGAGGCGAGGCTGGGCCGACGTCGATGCAAGAGTGTTACTGAGATTGCTGAAGACAATGTCCTTCGCCAGTGGGACGATCATGTCACCCGCACCATCTTCGTCATCTTTGTCGTGCTGTTATCCTGTAGTTTGCCGCACATAATCATCCATATCTTTTCACCTCCACAACAAGTTTCCTAGCGTCTGGGTCCTCCTTCACTTAATCTTCTGGCTCCAGTTCTGCGTCGACCCCATAGTGTATGTGACCATGAGCCAACAGTACCGCAACGCCACCCTTCAATTCCTCTCTAACTTCTGTTCTTATTTCGCCGTCTTTCAGGTCTCTGACTCGGAGGTGAAATCTGAACCCAAAAGTGATCTGAACAATGATCACGCCTTGCAGATTCAGGCGACCTCTAAGAGGGCCATGACACCTCTCCCGAAAGTTAAATTCTCAACTGAATTACATGTATAAAGTGTGTGTGCGTATATATATATATATATATATATATATATATATATATATATATATATATATATATATATATATATATATATATATATATATATATATATATATATATATATATATATATAATATTCAGAAATTTCAGAGTAATTTCAAATGCCCCGCCATTAGCGATACTGAGCGTTCAAGGTCATCTGAGGGGAGAGAGCGCTGCCTGCTCATAGCGAGAGATTGCGGAACTAGGCCTATATGATATTAAATGTAATTTACCGAATTAATAATGATGCGATTCATGAAGTAAGGGACTATTATTGAATTTGAAATTATTATAGATCGTTTATCAGTCTGAATAATGTTACGGGTGTCCCAAGGAGTTATTAGTTAGGCGGAAAATATGTCACGTAGGCCTAAGCTAACGCCTTGAGAGGACGCGACGCTGGCTGGTTCTCAGTCGCGGGGAGGATTCATACAAAACAAGACGTCCCTGCGCGTCTGTCACAGAAATAGTCACGTGGCCTAGTCACCTGTGTTGCGCTATTGCCGTATAACAAGTAAGTCTCATGCGATCTCAGACAGGGTTAGATAGGGCAGTGGTAAAGTAAACTAGAGCTAATAGTGAGTTCATTTCAGGGTTTCCGTCAGAACCCACTTGACTGGAGTTGACTGGAGTTGACCGGAGTTGACCGGAGTTTGACTGCGAGAGATTGACTGCCGTTTGAGACTGCCGTTGATGATTGAGGGTGGCGATTGTCGCCATTGGACCGATCAGAGTAGGCCTGTCAGTGTTTAGCGGGATACCAAAAGATCTCTTGAGGGAATCTAGCCGTCTGGGTGCCCAGCTGACGTCGGCTCACAACACCACATGTCCCGAGCCGCTTAGTGAAACCCTCTTGCTAACGGGAAGCTAAAGCTCCTCTCAACTGCACAAGGTCTGATTGGCTCACTCTCTTCCTGCCCATGGACGCACTGGGAGTACACTGAGGCTATCTGAGTATATTAATGGTCACACACTGAGACCGTGAGTCTAGGGCTCTAGGAGATACCTAGAGGAACATTTTATCTTCCTTATTATGGGTGTAGTTAACACCATTCCTCAGACTGATATTATCTTGACGTGTGTAGTTTAATAGTCCTAAATAATTTTGATAGTATTGTTTTTGAATGTTTGTGCCATTAAGTGGAACCAGAGTGATGCTGTGATTTGATTCTTTTAATGCATCTAATTGTTCTTCATAATTCTGATCTCAGGTATAACCTTGTTCCCCAGAGTAGTGGTTAAGTTAGGTTAGGAAGTGTGCATCTGTTGGGGTGCTATTATTTTGTTGAAAGCCCTTAAGGCCTATTCATTGTAGAGTATTTAATTTCTTATTTTTTATTACCATTTCCTCAGTGACTGATATTGTTTTGTTGAAAGCCCTTAAGGCCTATTCATTGTAGAGTAGTTAATTTCTTATTTTTTAATACCATTTCCTAAGTGACTGATATTATTTTGTGAAAGCCCTTAAGGCCTGTTTCATGGGTGCAAGCAACATTTCTTAATACTTCAAATTTATTGTTGCCTGTGTTTCTAATAATTTCTATATCATGTATAACTTTTATTCCCCAGAGTAGTGTTTTAAGTTTAAGTTAAGAGGTGCGCATATTGGTGTACCATTATTTGATTGTGTTTGTAGTGTTGGAGGGAATATAAGTGTCTAAATTTTACAGTGTGTCTCATTCATCCCAGTCACAGACGCTATCCTTCCACGGGTCACGGACAATTCATTTTGTTTAGTAGATTTAAGTGTTCTTGTGCTGGTTCGGGATTTTTCTCAAAGGGGCGCTTCCACTGCCATTACCATCTATTAATTTTTAATAAACCCCAAGTCAAGTGAGAAATTAAAGTCCAGTAAATTCCGACCGGTTACAAATATATATATATATATATATATATATATATATATATATATATATATATATATATATATATATATATATATATATATATATATATATATATGCTATTATACAAGGAAAGAAACACGTTCCCAAAGCGCTTTCGTGGTAACGCTGGCAAATATTTTCTTTCACTGTATATAGAATCACATACAGTGATTTACTTGCATATATATATATATATATATATATATATATATATATATATATATATATATATATATATATATATATATATATATATATATATATATATATATATATATTTTTTTTTTTTTTTTTTTTTTTTTTTTTTTTACGTATAGTATTCAGTGAAACGCAATAAGTTAGGCTGTGATGTCACTTTGAATTATCTTGCGTCAACAGTTAAGATAATATCAGTGTTTCTACATGTTATAAGTGAGACATCTACTCCTTAAATATAAAGAGATATAACTTTTGAAACAAGTAGGATACTCAAACTCGGCGAGATGATTGAATTTCTGCTGCTTCGGGTAATGTACAAAATCTTATGTAATAATTAATATTTTCACGAATATGCTCAACTGTCTAATGCATGATAATCAGGATATCCACAAACTTCTGGAAAAACGATGTATCCCCGCTTTCATTTAGAAGGAGCTGTAATTTTTTTTATTTCTACTGAGAAATATAACGACACCTTCAGAAACAGTGATTTACAGTTCAGGTTCAATTATTCACAGTTCAGGTTCAGTGATTCATACTTAATATACAGTGATTCACAGTTCAGGTATAATGATTTACTGTTCAGCTAAAATGATTCACAGGTCAGTTTCAGTGATTCTCATTTCATGTTCAGTGATTCGCGGTTCAGATAAAATGATTCACGGTTCAGATACAGTGATTCACGGTTCAGATACAGTGATTCACGGTTCAGATACAATGTGTTACAGATGAGGTGGTAATAAGAGCACGTTAGAAGCGTAACGTATGCGTAAATACGTATACATGTGCTTCTTACAATAGTTTGTTATTATTGTTTGAAAGCATTTTATATTATTGTTCCAATATGTAATTAACCTTGAATCATATTACTGCTCTTCAACAACTAAAGTTCTTAAGATCATATACTAGTAAGGATTAACTAGTTATCTTTATTTTGTAAATTACTAATGACTTTTGTACTTACCTTGATTGTTTAACTGAATTTAGATGCTAGGAAATAATGATACAGATGTTAATGGATAAAGCTGAAGGTAAGATGGCCACGGAATCACAGACACTGGGATGAATAACTAAAAATTTAAAAGCTGTTTCCGGAGATGCAAGTTTTAAGAGGGTTGGCTAAAACAGCCATAAAAACGTTTGGAGAATGTTCCCCAAGGGACCAAGATGGGACCACTGTGCTTCCTAATCCTGATCAACGACGCTCTGTCGGACACTCCTCACAGGTGGAAGTACGTGGATGACTGCACTGTGGGGGTTACAGTGGACAACACCTCACCGGATTACTCATCGCTACAAGGCACCCTGGACAGGCTACAGGCATGGACTAAGGAGAACAAGGTAACCATCAATCACACCAAAACAGTAGTCATGCACTTCAATACCGCCACCACTCCAGTGCAAGCTCCAGCAGTTACAGTGGGTGCCTATCCTTTCCAGTTAGTGCAGTCTGCCAAACTCCTGGGTGTAACTATAGACCACAAACTGGACTGGAAGGCACATGTAAACAACACAATCAAGGCAGCCTCGTACCGACTCTACATGCTACGACGACTCGGGTCACTTGGGGCACCCACACCAGAGCTGAGGACTATCTACAACGCCTTTATTCTCCCCAAATTAACGTATGCATCATCAGCCTGGTCGTCTTCTCTCAACTCTACCCAACAACGCCAGCTAGAGAAAGTACAGAAAAGGGCCTGCAGAATCATGCTCGGCACAGACTACTCCGGCTACAACAACGCTCTCTCCACCCTGGAAATGCCATCCCTCAGTGACCTCCACCACCAAGCACTAGCAAGGTTTGGCAGTGGACTACTGCACCATCTTCGTCATCGCCACCTCCTGCCACCAGCATTCCCCGGCTCACCTCGTGCAGTCTGCCACTACAACAAAATTCAGCCCATAAGAGCCCGCACTGATAAATATAAGAATAGCACCATCCCATCTATTGTTAGAATAATAAACAATGCCTGATTTATGCACTGTACAGCCACCGGCTGCAACTCTATTAATAAACCGTTTATTATTATTATTATTATTATTATTATTATTATTATTATTATTATTATTATTATTATTATTATTATTATTATTATTATTATTATTATTATTATTATTATTATTATTATTATTATCATAATTATTATTATTATTATTATTATTATTATTATTATTATTATTATTATTATTATACATACATACATACATACATACATGACGAATTGACGTATACTTACCACACTCAAACAGGGTACATGCGTACAATGCGTCTGAGTCGTTAGTACCTTATATCACCAATAATGTTGAAAACTCACCATTACACAGTCACCCTGCTGCCATCACACTCCTCACTGAATACACCTCTTCATTCATACTCGATAATTAGCAGTATGTTAAGAGGATTATAACTTTACAACGTCCTGAACTGATGAGTTTTATTCCAAAAGTTCATAATTCACAAGAGCGACACACTCATGGGAGGAATAATGACGTGATCGCGAGTGTTGCTGCCCTGCTCAAAGTCAGTGGGAGCGACCAGGCGATGTGAAAAATCAGGCGATAAGTAAAGATGTGACATAAAAAAAGATTATGCCAAAGAGAAAAGAGGAGGAAGACTGAATAAGAAAGGGAGAAAAAGGATTGGTGTACAGTATGTGAAGTCCTCGTGTGTCTATTCCGCTACCATTTCCCAGCCAAATGTCAATACAAACTTGGTGTGTTTAGTTTGACTTTAGGTGCGGAAGTTTGTCGCGCTTGAAGGATGCGATCAGGCGAGGAAGTCCGCTGATGAACTAAGACAATTACTGCCTGTACACAACGTTTTTTTTACAGTATTCTTTATTGCTTTATGAACCAATGTTATGACCCCCAAAGGAGTCTCAGC